CTCCCATTCCGAAAGCAGGACAGATAATGAAGGAAGATTTTGCACACGAGGGTTGCTGCTTGGACTCGGGTTTCGCTCATTCCCATAGGGTCGGATTGGTACACTTCAGGTTTCAGAAGTCGTAGAATGAGAGGAAATAGGACTTCTCCAAAAATCGCGATCCACTCCGTATGATCTGTCGACGCAAGTTCAGGCGACAACAGCGATCGTTGCAGTGCCGAGATTGCTTGATGTCGAATATCGCGGCAAGGATTTAGGCATTGGGTGGTCAGTGCGTTGAATACTGGTGACCAGTATGCAGCCCATGCTGAAGAAAATACGTCAGAACCAACATGCGGAGAAAATACTAAGAAATCCCTCCACGTACCTTCATTTCTTTCAAGGTGAGACTGTTGGATGAGATCTGGTACTCGTTTTGACAAGTGGTATATAAGGCCAATTGCTTTAATTCCGCGTTGTGCCAACGGATTATCCCTAGGTCGGGTTAGCGTCAGTATTGAATATGTGGTGCCAAAGAGGGAAAGAAGCAGAGGACTTACTGTGCTTTAGGGGTCTTCACTGGTATGGATCGTTTTCCTGACAAAGCCCTCCTTGGGTCAGACACAGCAGCAAGGCTCCCTGCACTTGCAAAATCGTTTGCAAGGACTACACAAGATTCGTAGTTGTCGGCTGAAATCACGGGCGGTGTGAAATGCACAATATGTTCAAGAAGATCGAAAACCATAGGAGCGCCTTCCTGATGTCGATGTAACCGCTGCAATATCGACCAGAAATCTGGTGATTTTGTAATTTCGCTCTTGAGAGGAGCGGCACTTGTGATGCAGTAGGAAAGACCTTTGATGATAGTAACGGCTGAATTTTCTAGAATATTTTGATCCAAGGCGGAGATAGCATGGAGGACAACCGGCACTCGCATAAAGGAGTATTCCTGAATGATATTAATTACACGGACATATCTCATATTACTGATTGGGGGAATTTCAACATACATAAGCATGGCAAAGCAGAGATAGGAGATATGATATTACTCGAGAAACTACAAGAGAATGGAAGCCCTTGAAGTCTCGAACAATATTTTGTAACGCGCCGGTCAGAGTTTCGCCTAACTCACAGATAGTATTTTGGTCTCTGATAGTTAGAATTGTAGCCAACTCAAGGACGTATATCATCCCAGGATCGTAGTTTGGTCGATCAGCGTCTGTTTTACTGCTTGGAGATCGAGATGCATTGGGAGGAGGCCTTTCAGGTTTGACAACAATAACGGCTGGGCTTGTGTCCGGAAGATCCGATAGCAGAGCATTGACTAAAGAAACAACAGACTCCAGAGGCATGAAGCTATAAAGGTTAGAACAGAGCAGTTAAGATTGCGCAGAGTTTAACATACCTTATATTTGTAAGAATCTCAGGAATGGAACAAGCGCTGACGCAGTCCACCGTGCACAGGGTATTTTCAAGCTCCTCGTCAGAAGGTTCGGGGGGATCGTCCGCAGCGTAACTTGAGAGATACGACGTGAAGGCTGAAAGTAGCCCGCTGTCATTACCTCGCCCATCTCGGTCGATGATTTGTGATGGGGGTTGGAGTGGGATTGGAGGGACATCCAGCTTCGGTTTCATACTCTCGAACTGGGGGATGAGCGAGTTTATGAACAAGTTATGCAATATTTTGATAATGTGAGTCCACCCCTTTCGAACGATGGATTCATTCCCCATCAGCACTCTAAACAATACCACAGTGGCCAATTGTGCTCTAAAATCCCTGCCTAGTTTTACTGCAAGCTCACTAACCATAACACTCTTTTTCCCGGCTTGAACTTCGGTGTTGAGAGACGTATTGGGGGGAGTGTCTGGTGCAAGGGTACTTATGGAGCTAAGGCAGTATATAATGCGATCCAATGCTTCAGTCTGATTGTATCTGGCTGCGATCTTGGCACATTGGTCAAAACCGATGACGACTCTGGAGAAGACTGCGTCATCAGAGGCAGACATAAAAACATATGAGAGTGTTGCCACCACTGGTCGCCAGGTCGCCTGGAACATTTCTGCGTCAAAGACGTTAGAGTCGAAGACAGCTAATTCTCCAGTTTCCACCGTTTTCATGAGAAGCTCTTTCCAGGCATAATCAAATGCGTGTTTATTTTCATGCTCGTCCGGTAATATAATTTCGTTGTGCTGGATAGAAGTGTATATGCTTTGAAGGAAATCAGTGTCGAAATCGTTCCCGCCGTTGACTCCCCGCAGATTCTTTACAAAACCCTCGAACGACATTCGATCCTGCTGCTTGACATTTCGATTATATAAGTTGGTGTTTAACATGATGATGGCATACGTTAGGACGAATAGCGAATCTTTATCCGCCACACCACTTGGTTTTACTTTGGTGATGTATTTGTCCGAGAATACAGTTAGAATCCTGGTAATAAGAGGCGCCTCGCCAGGCAGGCGGAAAGAGCCCAGGAGGTCCCGTAGCGCTTCATCTACCCGTTTGCCATCGAAGTTGAGAAGACCAATGAATTCGTCAAGAAGGGCTTCGTTAGATTTTTTTGAGATAAATTCTCCCAACACCCTTTTGGATATTCGACTTGTGCCTTTGAGGAATTTCGCAACAAGATGAGGGTTATCTGGATCTTCTATAATTTTATGGGAGGCGAGGAATGCGATTCCAGCCTTGGGGTTTTCATTAAATTTCGCAACGCCTTGGATAATGATCTTTTTCCGTTGACGTTGGCTCCTCAGTCGTGCAGGGTCCGGCAGATTGTCGTAATTAGGAGGCTGATCTAGCCTTTCAGCAATAAATTGCACGTACCCTAATAGGGCGTCAAGGCATCATGGCGGCACGTTTGTGGTACTCCAAGTCGCTGAGTCAGGAAACGCATTACGGGACAGGAGCCCAACCATATCTTCACAAAGGTCAGCCCTGTCGACTTCGCTGTCATAATTCACAAATAGTTCTGCCATGAAGTTTGGAATCCGTGTTAATGCCCCTATGCTTTCCACCATCGCTTCTCGCGCTTCAGGCTTCCGAGACCCGCCTTCCATTCCAAGCTTTTGGCGATCTTTCACAGGAACTGGAGTTGAACGGCCACTGCTGGTTTGTGATGGTGATGGTGAGGGCTTCACCAATTTCGGTGCTTGTGGAACACCTGAATAGAGGTTTGGATCGATCCCAGGTTCCCTTGGTATTTCTACTCTTGGGTGTAAACACGCGACTAAATACGAAAGGAAAAGTTCTTGCTGTAATTTCAAGACACTACGACAGGTAGAGAGTAGCGTTCCTGCAACTCGAAGAGATCCATTTAACAAAGCCATATTTTCAGACCTCACGAGTTGGAATAGATGACGACACAAGTCATCTTTGGCAAGTTGCGCAAGACTTGGATGACGCGCTATTGAAGGCCCCGCCACCTCAAGAGCAACATCGATTATCCTTAATGACATGACTCGCATAGTGTCTGTGTGTTGGCGATTATGTGGATCCAATAAGTCAATAAGAACCCGGAACAGCTCTCGAATTGAAGGTAATGAATACGGTTTAACTTCAGGGGACATGTTTTCATGCGGCGCGGGCTGATTGGTAGTAGCGTCACCATTGAAAGTAGCTTCTGAATCATCTTCACCACTGCTACGATCCTTTGTTGGGGTAGAGGTATCCATGCCTAGGCTTGAATGATGTGTTGATGTAACAGTATCGCCATCCACAGAGGGATCCATCTTGAAATTTCCAGCCTCCATTTGCGAGTGCTCTTCTTGTGGCAAATTGGGCTCTGGTAAATCTTCGACATCCAATTGGGAAAGGCGTTGGAAAATGACTTGGCACATGTTTATCATAGACATCTCGGCAGAGCGGCGTAGGACTTCTGATAGTCGAACTTGACAGCACATGCTCAGTCCTGTTTCCATCATTTCGCAGACGCTTTCGTCTCCCAGAAGCTCACCCTCAGTCCTAGAGAGCATACCCTCCATGAGCTTGAGAATTCGAAGGAGAACAATTTCATCAGCAGCAGAGTCTGTGGCTTCAAATCGGCAATGCGTGACAGCGGCTGATAAAAGTTGAAGGGCCATGGAGAGGCGTGGAGAATCTCGATTGATGATATTGTAAGAAAAGAACTTCGTTATTGAGATCAATGCAAGTGATGTAATAGGAGCAGATGTCGACGATGAGCGTATAACCTGAAGGAATGGATGTAGAAGAGCTGGGGTATCAAAATCGCGAATATCTTTACAGTCCTTCAAGTCGATACGTAACCGCGTAAAAGCAGACATCAACGGGTTGTCCTGCAAGCTCTTTCCTTTCTTCCCCCTGAGACCCCATCTACTCGCAAGTGCGTGTTCCCCTTCAACCCCCGCAGATCCAGATTTTGTCGGGGCGATTGTCGACGGAGATTTCGTCGCAAGGGAGACATTGAGAGGGACAGAAAGCTCGCGCTCGTAAGAACGTGAAGCACCACCTCCGCTCAGGATAGCCGCCACAGACGAATGAGCCCATCTCGAATGCTTTCGCATCGAGGAGGTGACTGTGATACATTCTGTCGTCACCAGCTCGACAGGGTTTACCGCTATCGGTATGGTGTTGCGTCCTTTCATGTTGCCACTCTGGTATAAATCTGGTATATCGGTTGGAGCATTTTGAGTCACCGAGCCAGACGTGGAAGGGTCTAGTATGCCAGGGGAATCATGACCATTAAGTCTCTCGAGCGCAATGGTCATATTTCATTCTGCACGACTCAACATATATTAGAACAGTTTCCTGATATTGCTCTGCCTGGGAGGGTGTTAGCTTACCAGACCACTGGACGTTATATGTATGGGCATCCGTTCAATTAATCATTTGGCATATTACCATATGTTCACAGTTCCCATAAGCCCACAGCTCCTAGAAAAAAATCTCGTAACTTTTATTCTAGCGGCAAGAGAATGAAGATCTGGTGTCGAGCAAACTCGTAGCTGTCCTCACCAGGCTCAAAAATAACGGCTGACATAAACCCGGTGGAGCTCCAGCAGTTCCATTTCAGGTTTAGCGTTTACAGGGCCTGAGATCAACAGAGCTCTTGTTCTAGCTTTTCAGAATTGTTTGAGTGTGTAGAAAACTATGTAGCCCGGACGAGAAAAGCTGCATTATTGTGGGCCATTGAGGTTAGTATTCTTCATTCGTATGATATTTTTATCTTTATGTTTACAAATACACAGTACTCGCTGTCATGAGCGGGGCCAGATACTGGATGATTCTGCATATTCATTAAGGAATACCGGTCAAGGCATCTCATTTGCATCTTACGTGCAGACGCTTGATATAAAAGGTTCACTGGAGGCATTTTGAGAAGTGGCCAATTTTGCCATCCATCACTGCTTTATTCCTATCTCTAATGACATGCGACAGATAACATTTAATGACTGACCTCAAGCTTAGTAATGAAATTTTGCTGGGAGTCGATAATTAGGGATGGTCATTAAATCCGTAGACGGTATGTATGCGTGGATCTCTCTATGCCCGCTTCATCAACAGGCGATTGTTCCTGTCCTGTCCTTTCCAACCAACACTCAAGGTTAACTTATTACGGAGTAACTAGTTATCAAACGATTCAAATTGTTGGATGACGTAAGCTAGCGATAGACGCGTGTGACGCCATCCAACCGCGTGTTGGGGCCAATCACAGCTGCAGGACCCGGACAACAAACAAGACCGTAAACAGCGCATCCAGACCGAGCGCCAAATCACCATACTTACCTGCCCTGACCGCTTGATAATAGAGAGCGGGTGATGTTGTTCAACCATTCGTCCTTTATTTTCACTGGAAGGTTCCCTTCCGGTTCGCAACAACATTCCTTTCGGTTATAGGGCCATGTGTTCATAATATCAAATGGTTGCCCTTGATCTCATCTTCAGGTTTGTTTATTCTTCTGCAATGTTTAAAACATTTGGGGCCCTTTAGGATCAAGGCTGTGCCAAACCACACAGATCCCCACCCTATAAATTGGCAGGGCGGTGCTACTACACCTGCCAAATCGTCCTATACGCTTTCCGTCGAAAACGACGCCTCGTTACGCTCAATATCTACGCCGGCGCAACGCGTAGAAGGTGCACCCCTCCCCCACCATGACCTCCATTTCCACTTCCGTTGCGGGCCTACCCCTCGAGCAACTTACACTCTACCATGCCGTGGATCCTATTCTCTCGTCAGTTCTCATATTCCACGGTCCTGTCGTAACAGCCAATTCCACTGTTCGGAGCTCGCGTTTCCAAGCACACATTATCGCGCCTGGTGGGGTCCAGAGCTACCCTCGACTTACAATATCTCCAGCAGGCCCGCTTTATGCTGCAGTCAACCACCTTCCACTAGACAAGCAAGGCGATGAAATTTGCAGAGGGTTAGCTGTTTGTCTTTTGAAATATTTTAGCGACCTCTCTGAGCCGGTCAGATATGTACTGCTAGGCACTGCGCGATCTGGAAATCTGGCCGCGCGATTGCCAAACGCCTTCGACGAATTTCATGCTGCGGAGTTAGCGAATAAAATGGCGAAGGTAGAGGACCCTACAGATGCCATCCGCGATCTCAGAGACGCATATAGTGACAGAATTGTCCCATGGATTGATGTGGATCTTGTTTTACCCCCTGGTGCCATCGCAATCGCCAATGGTTCCCGCAATTCCGACGTTGAAGTCGAATCCCAAGGAGATCTCACGAGCCAATATGGAAAGTATAGTTCACTGGTTGAAAATCTTGGCGACCCGGTATTCTTACCTAGTTCGAAACTGCGGCGAGCCCCTTCTCAACCCTTAAACGCGAGAAAATCAAAATTGTTCTCTGCCGCCCAAAAAGAGGCTCTCCGATTAGCCATGTGTGAAGCTGTAGATACTGAGGAAAGATACGTTGGAAAAATGTACGACTTGGTACATAATATCATTCAAAGATTTTCCCAGAAAGCTGCCGATAAGCCACCAACAAGTACAAGCCCTGATGAGACTGCACTGAAGCAGCTTTTTCCTCCCTGCCTGAAAGAAATCCTTGAGGTTAACATGGGGTTCTTGGCCGAAATCCGCGAGATACTCGAACAGACGGAGAAAGATGCTCTTGAAGATCTGTCAGGAGACACGCACATCGACTCGTCGTCATTTCGCAGGGACGCTGCAGGAAGGAGAAGTGATCCCATAGGCATTATCAAGTTTGCCCATGCCCTCCTAGAATGGTTCCCAAAATTCTCCAACCCATATGGAGATTACATGCACGCTCACCATGGCTTCTCTCAAACTTTGAGTTCCTTTCTCAATGATAACCAATCAAGTTTCTCTAAGAGAGTATACGAGACTGGAGAGCAGAAGATGCGCTCAGTATTAATGGAACCCGTTCAGCGCCTCCCTAGATATAGCCTTCTTATCGATGCTATGACTAGTGCACTTCCCTCTGTCCACCCAGCTGTTAAAACACTCCTTAAGGCTCGCGATATTATCACAGAAATTTGCTCGCTAGATTCACATTCTGCAAAGGACAATTCCCGAGATCTGAAACGACTCCAGCGACTAGTTGAAGACTTTCCTGCCGCCAGCATGCCTTCTGGAAGATTGATTACCGCGGTTGATTTCTATGACTTACCACCGCCTTATCATCTGCGCTCACCTAAAGAAAGTTTAGATTCAGGGATTCTGTTGCTTTATGGAGACTACTTGATCTTGCTATCTAAAGCATTTGAAAGCAGAATGACCGCTCGTGGTCTTTATGCTGAGCTCGACAAACCTCCTGTTGTCCCCTATGATGAGGGACCGGCGCCTTTCGAACTTAAATTTTTACAAGCACTGCGGATAACTAACCTCCGCTGCTCCCAATCGGTATGCGGCCGTATCCTATATCTTACCCCGGCGGGAAACTTTGTGCAGAATGAGCGTTCTCGCTCTGCATCCGCGATGCACGCTTTAGAACTCTTGTCAAACTATGAGGGTAAAGCTGGGCGTTTGATTGAAGAAATCACCAAGGCCCGAATCGAAGGACGGTTCTCAGAGGAGTACCGTGAACATAGCAAATGAGAGCCTTCGCAGTGTTAAGGGCGTTCTTCAGATTGGCATCTTGATATCCGTATTCGAGGATGAACCAAAAAACGTTGGTGGCCCATACTTATCCTCTACTGTTAAACTCATATCTGAGGGAACAAAAACCGTTATGTCGAAAGAGTTGAGCCGACCCGGGCGTGGAGGTTATCGCCTCGATCTCTCAGTCTGGGATTGGCATGTACAAGATGGAGACAGAATCTGTAGTGGGCCTCTCCTCAGTAGATTCCTTTTCTGCTGAAGAGTTTGCCTCAGTTTTGTCCAATCGACGTAAGTCAGCTTTTTCAAGGTTTAGCCCCAAGCTAATGATCGCTAACGAAGAAAATAGTTAACAACGTCCTTCGCCCATTACATCAGCCTGAGAATCCCATTCTTACTTCAGCTATTTTAAATACTAACTTCAACATTATTCGTTCGATCGCCAGCTACATTCTGGAGCACGCAAAATCGGGGCGAGGATTTAGACCTCCTTCCCCATCTAAACTTCTATCAAACTTTTGGAACGGCAGTCCGAAAGGCTCGTTACCACCTCCCAGATCACTTTTTCCTGCCCCTATTCTACGAGAAATTCCGCAAATCCTTCCTCCAGCATTAGACCACTCCAATACCCTGGCCACTCCTCCCAAAACGGGGAACGGCGGCACCCTAATCGGAGTAAGTTCGGGAGAGGGCACTTCAGATATTTTTAAGTCTCTAGAAGAGACATTTTCTGCCTACGTTATTGCAATTCGTTCGAGAAGTGGGAATATTGTTGGTCGCATACTTCGAATGCGGAGGCAGGCTGACCCCGCCACAATAAATGAGCTTTACAATGCACTTTTAGAGGATGCTGGAAAGATTCAGCTGGCTGCCGAATCTCCAGTTGACGTTTTGTTTGTGGCATTTGAAACCTTCATGGCGAATTCCTGGAACGAACATATTGGCCCCATAATTCCTCCAGACGCGTGGGAGCCCATACAGTCCAAGTTTGATTCAATGTCTCCCGGAGGTTTTGAAAATTATTTCCACCAGTTCCTGACAGAAATGAGTCCTCAGAATCGCCGAGCTCTCACAGTGCTGGTGAAATTGCTCGCTGAGCTGCTTGATGCTTCTGGTAATGATGGTGATCGCGGTGCTCTTACAGCAACTTTCTCTGAAATTTTGACTGATAAGGGAAACGCCATGGAGCATATTTCGCTCCTTGATCGTCTTGTCGAGGATTTTGACCGGTTATTTGATGAAAGCAGCACTCCCGGTGCGCCGATTGAAGGGATTCTATTAAATGACCATGCGAGCCCGTTTTCCAGGGCTCACTCTATGAATAACGGATCGACAAACCATGGGTCCATAAGCTCGAACACATCTTCTCTTCGAAAGAGGTTTGGCTTTGGGAGTACTCGAGACCGTGGTAAATCAGAGAGCGAAGGAAAAGTTAGTTCTATAATTCGAACACTTAGCAAATCCAAAGCACACGGAGAAACAGACTCTCAGCCATCAAGTTTTTCAAAGGCATCTATTTTTCGATCTAGATCTATCGACATCGACTCGCGCTTAAACAGTTTGTTGCGACCTGTGTCACGGGAACGCCTTCTCGCACATGGCATTTTTTCTGCATCCGCAGAGGATCAGTCATTACGCCCAAACAGTGCTCACAGCAATGCTCCTACACTTGCATCTATTGGTGAGCATCCCACCACGGATAAACCTGTAACGATAAGGAAAAAGAGGCGAAGCTCGTTGTCTGATTTGAAAGCTTTGCCTGCCACAAATGTTTCAACTTTGCTGCCTCCAATTGATTTGAGGCGCCCGCTTACTCCGGCTTCCCCTCCGAATGCCACAACCTCACTGGATCCTTCGTCTCCGCTTCAGCAGGCCGATAAGACTGGACCGCAAACTTTGAAAAAGATAGTTCCTGCAACTTCGTCTCCTTCACGACCCCTAGTATCATCTAGTAAAGAGAATGCTCCCCCGACACCGAGAACTACGCTCGGGAATAAAGTCTCAAATAGAAAGTCAAACTCAGCCATTCCACTCCCAGCTCAGCCCCAAAACGACGTTCGGAAGGCCTATCCTTTATTCCATCTCCTAGAAAACAATATATGCAAGGATCGAGTTGTTTTACCCAACCCGACGGATATGTATAACGGGAGACCTCAGTCATCTTCATCGATTCCTCGAACCCCAAAACTGCGAATGCAAAATCCCCAAAAGGTATGTGGATGTTCTATTAAGTCCACCATTTCAGAAGGTATTCTGCTAACATTCCAAAAATGGGTAGTTACGCGAACGTCTTCAGAATGAGAAAAAAGCTATTGCAAGTGCGGAATCTGCCATAAAAGCTGAAATTTCTTCGCTGGCAGATGAAATATCTACCCCCAGACTCTCTCCGGTAAGGCGACGACCAGGAACTCCAAGAACGCTCGCGTCATCCCCGCCGACTTCGAGCTCCACCACAACTCTCCACAGTCGTTCCCGTTCAATCGAGGCCAAGGTTAATACTCTGTTATCAGAATTGTCATCAAGAACAAGTGCCCTCGAGAAAGATATTGAAGACTCGCTCCTTGTGAGCGAAAGGAGGGCTAAGAAACTTGACGAACTCTATCGAGAAGCAAGCGCAGAGAACAGCGCCCTTTATGAACGATTCAATGTTGAACTTAGTAAAGTAACTAAGGAAGTACGACTAGGGGCTGGTGAGGAGGCACTCAAATCACAATTGAAAGAAGCACTAGATGAAGTGGCTAGGGTGAAAAAGGAGAATTTGAGGTTAAAAAGGGAGATTGGAGGGTTGAAAGCGCAGCAGCTTGGTTTTGTCAACGGGGATGCACCAAAGGGCGAGGAATGAGGGCGTTTTGTGGTGATGGCATTTAGTTGTTTTATTGAACGGTATATGGGATGGGGTGGTATGACTTAAGGCGTACTTTGATGGATGGTTATTGTGAGGAATACTACTTGGCAGATAGAATATGAGGCGGGGATACGATCAAATACACGGGGCAGGTACAGGTTTCTTTTTTGCATTTGAATTACTCATCTTTTATATGGATTCCACGCCTGGTCCGGCATCGTCTTGCTATTTCTTTGCAGAGCTTTCTGCCAGTTTAGGACTTGGGATTGATTCTTTAACTGATGATGCAGTCTCACTTGAGCGTTTGGGAGTTGGTTGGCTTTTGTTTTCTGGAAATCGATTTACGATGTTGACCTCCTATAGTTAACTAGTTTCCTTTATTTACATAATGTGTAGGAGTTTAGGTATTGCCCGTCACTTGGACGCGATGGCCAGATTGATCGTCATTTGTTACCACGAAAATATCGTGGTGGTCACGTGGTAAACCAGCATCGGCGACCCGATAGACCTCGAAAGACATTTCGTTGTCGCATTGTCCTGTCAGTGAAGAACCGAGGAAGTGCACTTGTCTATTGCACCTTGCGAAGATATTTCTGTAGTTTCACCAACGTGGTATCAAAACCGGAAGCAGACGAGCGGGCATAAATCGGACTGGCTGAGAAATTCTTAACCAACAATTAAATCCACACCAAGGTGGGATCTCATTATGTGGCGAAGTTTGGGAAGGGTGTCAATCTTATTGAAGGAGAGAACATGCTGTTTGTTCAGGAAATGACAAAGATCCCTGTGCCTCGAGTTTATGCTCTGTATTCAAATCCACAAACATGTAAAAACTACATTGTCATGGAGCATATTGCTGGTGAGACACTTGCAAAACTATGGGCAAGTTTGACATATGCGGAGAAGGAATCTATTGTTGCAAAACTGTGTGATTACTATAAGGAGTTAATGCCAGCTGCCATCACCAGGTTACTATGGCAGTATAGGCAAACGATGCTTTCTTGATGAGATATTTTGGACACAGCATGCAGAAGCTACAATCAATGGTCCATTTGCCACTAAGCTGCACTCAATGAAGCAATGGCACAGAAATACACATATGATGGCCGGCCTGCTTATAAAGCAGATTTTTACCGCCAATGTCTGCCACACATTTTCCATGACCACAAGCCAACATTTACTCATGGTTCAACGCAAAAATATTATGATTCGAAGCAACCCCCAGCACACAACTGCCGGTAATCAGGCCTTGGAGCTTGTCATTCTTGACTGGGAGAAGTCTGGTTGGTATCCAAGTTACTGGGAGTACTGCCTAGCTGTTTGTGCATTACGCTGGGATGATGATTGGGGCCTCTGGATTGAGAAAATGCTAGATCCATTTATACCTGAGGTTCCCTGGCTGCAAATGCTTTGCCTAGAATTGTGGTCCTAGAACAGTTATGTTTTCAAATGGTTCTCAGCGGTTGACCCCTCAAGAGTACAATGGAGCTTCAGAGCCACGCCTACCCTGTCCACAGCACGGTCACTCCGGATGGGTGTATGCAAGGACGTTTGCCCGGATGAGGGAGCAGTAGGCTTCAATGTTCGAAACATTTTACATCAACCAAGCGGAAGGGAAATGGAGATTTTCGCGAGAATGTGTGATAAATGGCCCACGAATTATGTCTGGTTTTGGCGGTCGAATGAGAGGATGTGCAATCAAGACCTGATGTTAGTGCTCGAATGCTAGTGGCTGTGCAGTCCATACCAGGCTGCACACCCTAGGAAGTTCGCTAGTTTGTATCGATGGTTTTTCCTTTCGGTCTATTAATATACATATATACAAAACGTTTTCAAAATGGGGTCCATGACCTGGATATCTATGGGCAAAATGAAAACCTCGCTTCAAGTTTCGCTAATAGGAGTGACTTGAGATAATACTGTCTCCAAATCCCGAGATATCAGGTTTAATAGATCGAGATCAATGTGTTTATAATTTATCTGCCAGTTTAAGGTCCAAGTGCCATTATTACCCCACACACTTTGAGTGAAAGCTACTGGCATTTTGACTCCGAACGATGGAAATGCGAGGACCCGTTTTTGCCCAGTTGCTTCTGCGATGACGGGAATAGTATATCTCAGGTCACCTGGCGCATGATACTGGAGAAGGTCATCTAAATGATGTCTCGTCCTTAGTGTTGCGAACGAGGGACTATCTGGTTTGACGGAATTAGGATCAAATTGTTTGTTAGAAAGCGACCATGTGTATTTCACGAGTCGGCGTCTGACGTCTGCTAAGTCTGGTCCTTCCATTGAACGAACCACAACGGGGATGTTCATGTCGTTAGATTCAAACGAACCCTCTTCCACAGGATTGCCTGGGATTGCTTTTTCGACCCGCAATCGTATCCAGTATCGGTTATCCCAAAGCTGCCAGGAAGACCAGCGTGATTCGACTGCACTGTCCGCAAGTGATGAAGTAGGAAGTGGAATCTCGAAACTGGAAACAGGCTTTGGGGTGCGTCTTGAGTACGGCAGGCGGGTCAGCAGCCAAGTGTTTGGGAAATAATCAGTTTGCTTCCTTGGAGCAAATGATTTGAGAGAGATGCTTTTCCCACCAGCCCACATTTTCGGTAGCATTACTGGTTCAAATTTCACACCGCCAACAGTAAATATGTTCCCTCTAGCAGGAGCTGGTTCTTCGTCACGCGTTGTTTCAGGCGCTGGAAAAACTTTTTGTAACGCCAACGTGAATTTCTCTAGCGGTACGTCACTTTTCGGAGCAGGGGAAACAATATCCAGGAGGCGCCGCAAAGAAATCGCCAGTGTCTTTTGAAGTTTAGGGGGACAATTCTCAACCGGCATATCCTGGGATTTTCCGATATTTTCCATATCTCGAGGACCAGGGAACTCGAGAACAAGGCTGCCAGTTCGAAGGTCAAGTTTGCGAACTCGGACAGTTTTTAAGAAGGCGTTAGATTCATTGCCTAGTTCATCCGAAATCCGCTGGCTGTTCTCGATAAGTTGCAATATTGACGGAGCTTGCAGTGCGCGAGGAAGCATGTCATTGGAAAGGAGATGACGTAGTGTGTTTCTAGAGGTAAGGGTAGGATCAGAATTTGTTCGGTCGGTGACGAACTGTATGCCGCCTTGAAGACAAGTAGACGTGAGACGTGACTTTGGGAACGAATTAAACGGACGGAATAGGTAAATACCACCCTCTGCAATAGGTAGTTTTAGATCTGCACGAAAGCGGCGGGCCCGATCGGTCGTGGTAGAGCGTTCCGGTTGTAACCCTTTAGAGCTGTGACTCTCGCGACTTGAGAAGTCTCTGGCTCTGGTAGCATTTATCGTGCTTTGAGCATTCATTAAACGGGTGACGGAGCCACTCTCCGCTACCCCATAAATGCCATGACATTCTGGTATATGGCCTATGCTGGCGACGCCCTTGAGACCAAATGCCTGGCGTTGTCCACGAGTCAGCCGACTGAGGACCGTATCAACATTATCGTCCAGATGGTGTCCCAAAAAAAGTGCGTGGG